TTTTTAAACCATGAAAATCAAAAGGGATTTTTAAAATAATTGTGATTCATAAGATTGTGTTAGTGGAATAGTAGCATTTTGATAAAAAGAGAAAAAAAAATGGAGATAAATATGTAAATTTAAATAAGAGAAACAGAACGAATATGTTTATAAAAAGATTGAGTGCAAATAGCAGAGCCTTATTTCACCTGGAAAAACAGGGAACCAATATCCATCTTCCCATAGAGCCACACTGTCGATTTGTTTGTAGAAAAAGAGAAAAGTGAAATAAAAATGAAATGGAAACACTACATTTATAATTTTTATTTAAAAATAATTAGAAAGAAACTGAGTTATAACTATTAATCATACTACAACTGAGAATTAGATGGTCAAATAAATAATTACAACCAAGGGTAATAAATATTTTTTTTTTATATTCTCATATATGCATTCCTCTTATGAATTTTATTATTTCTCCATTTTGCTTTTGTATTAACTCCATTATCTTTTAACATAGATTTTTCTTCATTCAGGATCTCGTCACAAATTATGATGATAACGAGAGAAATAAAAAAAAAAAAGTATTGATTGAAATTGTCAATTAATTGAACCATATCTTATGTTTCAAATTCTCCAAAATTGAAAATTGACTATTTCGCATAAAAAATAAAGATTGCCTCATTTATGAGTGGGCTAGTTAAAAGAACATTTAAACAAGTCCAAAAAAATTATAATCGAATTAATTCAGCTATTTTTCTAAATGTTTTATCTCAGTACTATCATAAAAAAAAGAAAAACAATATCAAAAAGACGTCGCCTCACTGGTCATCTCTATACATAATTGTATCCTAAACATTGTATTATTACTTTTATATAAAAATAAATAAAACCCAAAATTTGACACCTATTTATATAAAAATAAATAAACTGACTGCTTCTCTAAACAATCAGATATAACAACAGAAGAGGGTCAGAACAATGAAAACTCAGAACTTTTTATGCAATATTCGACCAAATACATTCCCAACTCCACCTTTCATGGTCTAAGGCAGTGGCCGACCCTTTTTTTATTGAAATATTCTCATTATTTTAAAATATAAATATTCAAAAACTTAGTTTTCATAGAAATAAAACTCAAATAATTATTGAATTTGAAAACATGAAAAAAAAATTATATTTATCGTGACTTTTTTACTTGTTCACTTGCTATCAATTAATAATTTGTTTACTAATTTTCCAATATCATATTCAAAAGAAAACTATTTTAAAAATTCAACTTCACTATTTTATTGTAGATATTCTTAATCATCCAAATTTGAAAAAATTATCAATTATATTTAAATTATGTCAATCTTTATTAAAAATTGAAATTACATTTTACTTATACATAAAGATTTTTTTTTCTGTAATAATTTATCAAAACAATAGTGAAAAATAAAATGAGATAAATTTCTTGCGCGCAATGTAATTTGTCAGACTCGGAAAAACGCATCCAAACCCTCCTGTCAGTCATTTAAAACGCACCCAAAACCCTCTACATGGACGCCAGGTGTCAGGCAACGGGATTCGAAAACCAGAAAGTGGAAGGCAGGTGTCGGCAGAAGAGCGGACGCCCGTTTGGACGTGGGAAGCAAAAATTGATTTTTCTGAAAACCCGTACCCACTCTCTTCTGCATGCACCTTCTTCTTCCCAAAACTCTGATCTTCTCATTTCTTTACCTTCTTTCTAGAAACTCTCCCTTCTCTCTACTGTAACTAACCTTTTCTCTGCTTCGATCGCCGCTCAGGCACCGTAGGAGCATTCCCGGCGTCCCAAGCTTCATCTTGAACCGAACAAGTTTCAAGTTTGAGCAGGTAAGTGTATTTATCCTTGGTCGTTCGTCTTTTGTACATGCAAACCAAGTTCTGGTTGCATGCAGGGGTGTAGTCTAAGTTATTTTTGATTTCATGTTGTTTGGTTTAGTTGGAAGAATCAGTGATCGTTGAGAGTAGAAAGATTGTAGTCGAACGAACCCAAAAACCTACTCTTAGGACGTTAATCGCGTATCCAGGTAAGGGAAGCTTATTTAATTTAATCTGTATGTGGTTGTACTGTAAGAACGTCCGTTATTTGAATGAATGAATATAATGCATGATGGTTGATATGTTTGAAGTGTATGAATGTGAATATGAGTAATCGTTTTGGAGTATGATTTATCAACATGATATAGGTTTTACGAAGTATGTAAGTTGATGTTTTATTGTGAAGTTATAAGGTTCAAAAATGATGTATTGAAAAAAATGAGTTAAATATAAATGAAAATCTGAATATGAAATTCTCACTATGATAATATGTGTTCGTCATTGAACGGTCCTTGGCCGTTCAGTGTTTCTAGTAAACTGGTTTGACATTGAATTCTTTCATTTGGAAAGAATTCTAGTTGAGGACGAACGCCTTCTTGTGGAAAAGTTATGCTTGAGCGTTCGGCCAAGCGTAGTTGCACCGGAGCTTCAATGACAAACATAAATCTTGTATATATATATATATATATATATATATATATATATATGTATGTATGTATTTGTATATGGTAGTTATTCAGACATAATTCCTATAATACCTTATTTTATTAAGCTTTTATTTTAGGTTTAGTAGTTTTCGGTCTCACACCAAGCTCTTGTAATGCGTGGTGTTCGGTCTTATACCAAACGCTCGTACTCGTTCATAGTAAATCAATCTTGATGAAATATCATTCGTCCAACTTCAGTAGAATTTTCCTTTGCCTTGTTCGGTCATTTACTGGCATGGGATTTCTGTATGTAAACTATTCTAAATATAGTTCTTTGACGTCTTAACGTGTCTACATTCATTGTCTCTGATCTAGAGTCCCAGTACCTATGTATTCTTTGAGTATTGGTTGGAGTTCACGAGAGTCACTTCATTTAACTGATTCATGTTATAAATAACGTTCGTCATATATTGTATAATTGTACCCGATTTATTCCTAAATCTGACAGTAACCCCTTTCGGTCTTATTCTATTATGGAACGGGAGATTTCTCTGTCTCGTTCCTATCGTTCGTCCTCGTTCTGAAGAGGGCTGAACGTTCGGTATTTATTGTTCTTAGAAATTGTGATGAAAAGGACACTAAAGTGAAGAATTATAAAAGATGAAAAGTATATGAGATAAATGAAAGGTTGTGAATTTTGAACGAGCGTTCCAAGGAGGAATAACTCTTGGATGAATATTGGAATTTGTAAAGTATGAATGTGGTAATGCTTAGCTGGCGGTTCATCCTGATGTTCCGTGAGTACTCGTCCTCATGTAGAGGAGAGTAGGTCATGTGTGGGAACGACAGGAGGTCCTAGTCCTTAAGGATACTTTGGACAAAAAGGACTAACCTCGGGTGGCAGCTGATGAGAGTATTCCAGTTACTACATCACCCGGGTGCACGAACGTCGTAGCTACACAGAATTCATACAGTCCGGACAATCAGTCTAGTAGTAGGCCTTGCTTGAATCGTACGTTGAGATGTATTTGATGTGTGTGAATATGAGAAATGTATGTTATTACTTGAATTAAATTACATAAGCTTACCCTGTGTTTTATTGTGTTGTCTTGTCCTTGTACGTCCGTCTTGTCATTGCAATGATCATCCGTGTGGATGTGAGCAGATGGAGACACGTTGTTGGAGGATGCGCTGGAAGAAGAAAATTTGATAGAAGTGGAAGTGAAGACCGAGCCATAGGAGCGTTCGGCTAGTTTATAGTAGTTTTGTTGTGAGGTGATCATTCGGTCACCTCCTCTCTTTCGTTTCTATGTGACCGTACGGTATTTAATTTTTTTTTGTAAACCGTTAAGTCATGTTTTCTTTTATCTGGAACAGATGAAGTTTGTAACTTATGTAAGGTCGTTCGGCTATAACCGTTCATTGTTTAGTTAAGACTGAACTGATTTATTATTAACTGTAATCAATTCTATTATATGATTTTATTACTGTATCCTTGGGATGTTACATAATTATTTATATTAAAAAAATAGTTGAAAATTTTAGATTTGATTTAATTATAAACTCAATAATTTGAAAATACAAAGAAAAACCTATTAAATATATGCAATTTTTTATAACTGTATTACTTTATATTAGATATTATTTTTGCTATATTAATGGTAATGATAAAACATATAAATTTTAAATCTTATTTTGGCTCTATAAAATTAGTGATCAAGATCCAACACTGGTTTAAGATTCTCCAATGGCATCTTGAAAAATACTAAAGATTAACAACCATTTTTGTTCCTTCCATTTCAATATATATCTATGGCTATTTGGTCTTTTCCCTATCCTTTATTTTTGTTCAACTTCATGCACCCTATCAAATTTCTTGGTACACCCCATGAAAAAGTCTCCAGAAAATTTATTTCCTTAATAGAAATGGGGTAATCGTCTACCGGAATAAAATTTCAGGATTTTTGTTTTGATGTGTTCCAGGAAAATGAATTCCGACATGATGGAGTTTTGGGATATGGTACAGGAAGTAATAGCCTTTTGTTTATCTACTTGTAATGCTCTTAAAGAAAGATATAAATGGCTTCTGCACAGAAAATTTTAATTCACCCGAATGGATGTCTGTAAATCAAAGTATACAAATTGTATAATTGATCCAAGTCCATAGTAGATCAGAGCAAATAAAACTAATTTTTATAAATCAAATTGAATCTATTAAATATCAAACCCTTTTTATTAACACGGAATATTTTTATAACTTAAACTAATATTAAGAAAACAATTTAAAAGATCAAAACATTTAAATCATCAATATTCTACAAATGAATATATGGAACCAAGCTCAACGTTTAACATCTTTAAACAGGTAAACGAAACAATTCAATTTTTAAAGATTTTTAAATTAGTTCATGCGTTAAATTTTACCCAAATTTACTATTATCATATCAACATGAGATTAAAATAAATACTTTTAGGGTCTTACTTTTGTAGGGAATAAATGTAAACAAGTATTCAAATAGACTCGATATGCCACTGGGTTAGGGCACTACAGGCCACAGGCACATTTTATTATTCCAATCCAAACCAAAAGTTTTTGCGGCACTACGGATAACCATAATGTTTATGAAAACATGCAAAATATATTAAGGTAAGTCCATCACATTTGATAAAAACTCCCACGAAATCAGTGTTCTTCTTTCAGAACCTCAGGAAAAAATTTCCATGATGTTCTATTAGAGGTATAGACTTCAATTCGCTTGACACAGCAGCAACATGTTCCCTTCTTTTATGGTTTACTGCAACAAAGGATTATAGCACCGCTTATGATTTGGGATGGATTGTTTCACACATCAATAGTATTTCTTTTCATAAGAAAAGAGCCCATGAATTCCACCTTCAACCTGTGCTGCTCCACTCCGGACCTGGGAAGAACAGGACATATACATCAAAGTTTTGTTGATGCAAAACAATTGTGGCTTGTAAACACAGCAAATTGCAGACTCAATACAAACACAAGAGTTTACCCCTAGACAAACCACAATTAACAAACATACCCCGGTTGAGAAAGGCTCATTGTACACAGTCTTACACTGATGCAAATAAATTGTTTACATTTTGTTTTTAAATCAATGCAATCCATTCAGGTGACCTAAAATTTTAAGGAAACAATAATAGTTTGTTGTTAAACTAAAGGTGTATTTAGAATCAAGAAAATAGACCTATTTGAGTCCTGACTTCTATTAGATTAATCCTTTCTAATCCATCCTAACAAATTGCCGCAATTTCTTTTACTACTTATCTAGCTTTATTAGTTTAAGAATACAATGGTAAACAAAAGGGTATTCCTTTAAGAACTACAGTATCCGAGCTTTTGAACAAAGCCAAATAAATGGTTTCCATAGGAAAAGGGGAGTCAGTTAACAACTAGCATCACCTTTTTTGTTGTGCAAATAAAGAAACTTTATTGATATCTAATGTTAATAGCCAGAATAAGAAATAAATAATTAAAAGTGGCTTAACCATACCTCCAGTCTTAACACCCTGGACCTTAGAAGGTCATGAGCAGACTCTAGAGAAGAGGCGCCGATATCCTGGAACCCTTGCCTGACTGCTTGCAAGGTGTATGGTATGAAGTTCAAGACAGAACCCTTATCCTTGACAGCTCCAACAACCCCCTGAGCAATTTTTAGCTTTGCTGTATCACCCAAGTACCTTGCATCACTCCCTTTAGTCATAGCTTCTAGGGAACCCATACCTCTATACTTTTTGACACGTTGACCATTCTGGTGCATAAATGGTAGTTAGTAATAGATATAAATACCATATTTATTCTTGTTTAAGTATGTAACAAGTCATCAGCAAAAGAAAGAGGAATGGAAAATTTATAGAAACTAAGAGATAGGAAAGAAAAGGAATCACAGAGAGAGCCAGTGTGAGAGAGATATAACACATTTTCAGAAATATAAAAATCTAACATACAGTTCCTAAAAGTGTTCCCCTGTTCTCTATTTCTAAAGAGATTTTCTTAATAACACTATAACTTACACATATGCTGAGAATATATTTAGGGAATGAACACACAAAGGAAACCAAAAACTTCACAATATTCCATCAGGCCTTCATAAATACCTGATATACGTAAGCTCCCGGAGCCTCATGGCTACCAGCAAAGAAGCTTCCCATCATAACAGTTGACGCTCCCAATGACAAAGCCTTAACAATATGACCAGAGTTTGAGATGCCACCATCGGCAATGACAGGAACACCATTTTTATATGCAATGGATGAGACCTTGTAAACAGCAGTTGCCTGAAATGCATAAACTCAAATAGTCAATATTAAGAATTGAGGAATTGAATACCTTATTTTTAATATTTGTTATCAAAAAGTAAAACATAACACTAACCGACTTTTACCCCATTTCCTGTTTTCAAACATCTTTTCAAGAAACAGTAAAAGTAGTTTCACAAATATTCAATACAAGGAACACATTTAAAAAATCGTTACAGAGAAAGCCCTTTAGAGAACTCCAAGGATCAGGCATGACGCACAAGCCCATCAAGAGTCAAGTCGCTAAGTATAGACACCCTAAACTCCTGACAAAAGACCATCGCCAATTATCAAACATTATCAATATCAAAAGTTGACCCAATCCTCAAAAGGATTCATTGATCCTAGAATCCAACCAACACAAAAATCTTATCACAACTCAACACGGCAGACCAAGGTTCTAAAAACCCATCCATGACACAATTCTGTCTACAAAATCAAGAACTTCGGAGTCTCTAAGCAGCTAAACAGCATCCACAACGATTTAAAGCCTAAAAACAAATCACACGCTTAAATTTGATGTTAAGGGAACTAATGAGTTGGTTTCAAGTGGTTAATATACTGAACCCAAAGTTAAACTGTTACAGCACTTGCCGGGTTTGTTCCTTGGAAAAAAAACAGTAGTATTTGTTCAGACTTCACTTACCTCGGAATTGATTTTTAGGATAAGCCTTAATAGTTATGAATCATGTCCATGAACCAAAAAGTATATTTGACGCTAAGGGTGAACAGATTCAATCAATAATCAACAATCATTCAATCAATGTTCAACCAATAACCAATCAATCAGTGATCAATTAAGGAATCGAATATACCTGACCACGTCCCACAGCACAAACCTCCTGGGTGGTACAAATGGACCCAGACCCCATTCCAACCCTCAACCCATCAACCCCAGCCTGAATCAAATTCTCAGCCTGGTACATGGTCACAACATTCCCACCAATCACATCAAGCTCAGGGTAGACCCTCTTCACATACTTCACCATCTCCAACTGATAAATTGAGTTCCCTTGAGAACTATCCAACACAACAACATTCACCCCAGCCTTTACCAAATGCTTCAGCCTCTCCTTATCATCCTCCCTCGTCCCCATCGCTGCCCCCACCATAAACTCCCCATCTGACCCCACCGTCGCCGACGCCACCAATTTGGGGTACCCCTTCACCCTCTCCACCTCCTCTCTCACCACCAAATCCACCACTTCACCATTCCTCTCCAAAGCCACTGCACCACTCCTCTCATTCTCCATGATCTCATGAATTTTGTTCAGGTCTGCGTTCCACGGCGCGCGCCGGGGCGGAGGCGCCATGTAGTCGCCAACCCTTAAGCTTTTGTCGTTTTGATTGGTCCAGTCGCGCTTCGAGACATAGCCGAGGAGCTTCCCGCCGGCGGCGCCTGTGTCTGTGACGAGGAGAAAGGGGGAGCCCGCAAAGTCGTCCTCGTGCTCGATGACAGCGGAGGGGGCCGCGAAGGCGGGGTCGGATAGGATGGGGACGCGGCGGGACTTGGCCGCGCGTAGGAGTGCGGCCTGGGCGGCTGCCGGAACGTTGGAGTGCACGATGGCGATGCCACCGAGGGAGGCCATGGCACTAGCCATGGCGGACTCGGATACTGTGTCCATGGGGGAGGCAACGAGGGGGACGGCGAGGGGGAGCCGGCGCGTGAGGCGCGTGGAGAGGTCGACGGCGTCGGCGGCGAAGTCGATGTAGTGGGGCAGGAAGATGACGTCATCGTAAGTGTAGGAGAAGCCTTGCGAGAAGAGCTTCTCGGCGGTGAAACCGTCCTCGATCGGCGGTGGAGTGAAGTCCATTGGGGCTGCCGGAAAGAGGGTTTAGGGTTTACCGTTAGTATTTAAAGAAAATTTAAAGAAAAACGAAAGAAAATAATAAAATAATAAATATTGAATTAGTTTACCTGAAATATTAAAAGACAGGATTATGTTGTCAATGAGCTGGAGAGGACGTGTACTCAATGAATTTATAGCCGAAAGAAAACAAAGAGATAAGATAAAATATTATTCAAAAGTACGTTCTTATCCATTGTAAAATTTCTTTCGTATTTTATTTTGTCATGTTCACCAAAAATATTAATTAGTTTACTTAAAATTTTTATTTCTTCAATTTTACTTTTAATTATAAAAATGTATTTATGAAAATATTCATGACTAATTTTCTCATTTCTAAAGAGAAGGTCATTCTCATCCCTGAACCTTAATTTGAAATCTTATTAAAAACAATTAAGTTGAATACATATTGAATTTATTCATAATTTAATGTGGGAAAGTCCTTAGTAATTTTAAATTACAATAAAATTAAATGTATAGTTAATCAAATCTAAAATTAATTATAAGTAAAGTTCTTAATTTTGTAATTAATTATCCTCATTAAACTTTATATTTTTTTCTGTGTCTCGTTACCTTTTCACTTCAAATTATTTCATAATAGGGTTTCATTGATTATTACTAAAAATATATTTTAATCCTTAAAGATATTTAAAATGCTATTATAATTTTTAAAAAAGGTTAAATATTGTTAGTTCACATTTAAGAAAAAACATTTATAGTCTTTGAAGAAAAATAAAATCACGTTATCTTTGATAATTATAACATCTAAATACATATTATAGTTGTTAAAATTTAATTTTAAATATTATAACTATTCTTAACATTAGATATTATCACCAGCCAAACTACTCTTGGAGTTGAACATTTCATCTTTATAAGTTTAGTTATGGACATTAGTGAGAAAAGAATTTCATTCCAACATAGATGAAAATTCAATGAAGGTTTGGAAGGATGAAGATCTATCATAAAATTCAAATATAATTCATAATAGTAACAATGTTATTATTTATTATGTAGCCTTCCCTAAACACCTTTTCTCCCAATTATAAGATATATATAATGATATATTAGTTATTAAACTTATATACTACTTTCGTCTATGTTTTCGTTTAATTTTTTAACGTGATTTTATTTTTATTTTTTCAATTAAATTTTCATTAACGTTTGTTTAATTAAGTTATTTTGAGCAATATTATTTAAATAATTAACGATATGTAAATAATGTATAATACGGGTTTAGATGTTTTTCTTTCTTAATATTTTTTATTTTATTTTTCAATTCAGTTTTTATCTAGACCGACGGTTAGCATCCAAGATCGATCGTCTATCTACTGTAGCAGCGCTCGTCAACCAGGTCAAACGTGGACAGCACTCGTTAACCAGGTCAAATGATGTTGGGCCACAACGCTCGTCAACCAGGTCAAACCATGTTAAAAGATGTTGGGTCACAATTGGACCGACATTTAAGTTATTGAACTAATAATCCAGCAGAGGATAAAATAATTAAAGATATCTGATTAAAGATATTCATAAAGCTGTTTATGAGCAACCGCCCGGATTTTAAGGTAAGTCTGTTCATATTTTATTAGGCTTGTGATAACCTATAAATACAGGGCCAACACGTTCAACTCACACTCTATGAGATCCAAATAATCAATAGTGATAACAATTCACTGAATATTCTATTGTGAGTATAAGTTCTTCCAACACACGCCTAACTTTAGCGTCGGAGTGCCTTTTGTAGGTACCTCCCCCCTTTGCTGGTGAAGGAGAGCGAATGGTGCGAATCGAAGGAGCGCGAGCGACCCATCGAAGGATGAGCGTGCAGTCTATATTGCAGGAGAGCGAGCGACAAAGTCACGTAAGAAAGGTACATCTCTTGGTCCCATGAAATCCATACCTAAACAATGTATAATGCGGGGTTTAGCTGGTTTTCTTTCTTAATATTTTTTATTTTATTTTTTAATTCTTTTAATTTTTTAATTCAGTTTTTATATTTCTTATTTTTGTTGAATTCCGTTTAAAAAATTAAGGGTTAAATATGTTTTTCGTCCCTTAAGTATCACACGATTTTGGGTTTAGTCCCTACTCGAAACTTTGATGGCTTTTAGTCCTCATAGTTTTGAAATTCTTACTATTAGTCCTTAAAAATGAACAGAGTTAACTTTTGTGTGATGTGGCAAACGGCGAGGACACTCTTTTATGCCAGCTTCCATCTTCACTCTCTGCCACGTTGGTTGTTTAATTTTTGAAATGAGATTAAGTATGATTAATTTGGTTGAACCTTACTTCGTCATCTCTTATAAATGAAATTTTAAGAAGTTGGGTTCTTCTTCATCATTGCAGTTGGGGGCAAAGAAAGCTGAGGAGATACATCTGAAGGTCGTCTTCTTGAGGAGGTAAGTTGATAGGTTTTGTTTTGCTCTTCTTCGTGTGAATATAAAGATTGGGGATATAGGGTTTGGGTGTTGCGGAATCAGTCTCGGAAAATTCCATCCATGAATTCTCGGCCAAGGTTTTATTATTTCATTTTGGAAACAATTATAGAAACGTGAACCTCACCACCCTCCCAGATCTCCTTTCCCACTATTTCCTAAACCTTGATAAATAACATTAACAGTGAACGATTGCTTTCGTTTGTTGGGATTCTAAATTTGAAGCGTCAGAATCCGTTGGAATGGAGGGAAGTGGCAATGGGGGTGGCGCTGCTCCGTCGTCTCCACCGGTGGAGCAATATTTGCAGGAGTTCTCTAAGTTGTTTCAGTACTATCTCGACAAATCTACCCCCCATTACGCTTGTGACATTGGTCATGGCATCCATCTACGTCTTGCGTATTATTTACGTGCAGGGGTTTTATGTTGTCTCTTACGGCCTCAGAATCTACCTCCTCGATCTCTTGATTGGTTTTCTCTCCCCTTTGGTTGATCCAGAGCTCGATCCCTCCAAATTAAACATACTTAATCTCATTTCAAAAATTAAACAACCAATGTGGCAGAGAGTGAAGATGGAAGCTGACGTAAGAGTGTCCTTGCCGTTTGCCACATCACACAAAAGTTAACTCCGTTCATTTTTAAGGACTAATAGTAAGAGTTTCAAAACTATGAGGACTAAAAGCCATCAAAGTTTCGAGTAGGGATTAAATCCAAAATCGTGTGATACTTAAGGGACTAAAAACATATTTAATCCAAAAATTAAACAATTTTTTTATTTTTTAAATTAAGATCAAATTTAATTTTTTATGTGTTAAGTAAGAATTTAGAAAATCGAATATAGTTAATGAGTGTTTTAAAATAATGAGATCAAATATTTTAATGTTAAAATAATTTAATAAGATAAATAAAATTTCATAAACTCGTCTTACGTGTTCCATAAGAATTTAGAAAATAGAGTATTAGAGTGGATAAGTGTTTTAAAATAGTGAGATCAAATATTTTAATGTTAAAATAATTTAATAATATAAATAAAATTTCATAAACTCTTCTTATTATAAAAATCACTTATCATTTCTCTAAAGCTCTTTATTTGAGTTTCTTCTCCCTTTTCTCTACAACTTCTTACTGAATCATCTGTTTGACGATCAATAAGTGTCTAGGAGATCACGGTAGTAAACTCTCCAATCCTTACCTATCAGTTTTTAATCTAGAGCAAGTAAGTTATACTCTTTTATATATATATATATAT